ACATGAGATAGCAAAATGCACGGTGCATCTGGAGAAATGCATGAGGTTCAGCAAAATGCACGGTGTAATTAGTGCACAGTGCATTCAGCAAAATGCACGACACTTTTAGTGGTTTGCAAGGTGCTTTTGGGGCAATGCACGGTGTGAGCAGGGAAACTACACCCGCAGCAAAAGTCAGGGTGCAATTAGTGAAACCTGCAGCACGCGCAGGGTGTGTTCACTGAAACACTAAAAGCAATATCCCCCTCAGGCTCTTTTTTTTAGGCAAAGATCCTCCTCCCAGTTCCATATCAGGCGAGCAAACCCCGAAGCCTGGAGATCCCTCCAGCTGGAAAAGCTCGTCCTGATTACCTGAATGTACAAGATTTTTTCCTAATTTTGGCTATGGGACAGGCCTGCAAGGGAAGACGCCACTTTGGGTGGAAAAAAAACATTTTGGCTGCACAGATGCAGCCCTCGGCTTTATTTCCACCCCGTGGCATTGAGATTTGGTTATTTAACATGGGAATGAGGGCGTTTTGCAAGCCAGTGCTTTTTGGTTGTCCAGTCTGGTGGGAACTGTCCCCCAAATGGGCCTGGCTGTACCTTCGTGGGAGCAGTTGTTGTTGAAGGCAGGGGAGAAGGTGCGCAGCTCCCGCAGCAGGATGGGCTCCGTGCCCCCGCCATCGCCTGCCAACTCGGCCTCAGCCTCCTCCTCCTCCTCCTCCTCTTCAGCCTCGGGGTCGGCCTCTGGGTCGGGTGAGCTCTGCATCAGCTCCTCCAGCTCCTCGATGACCTGAGGGACCACGGAAAGCTGTGTCCTGCCTTGCACTCTCATCTAGATCCTGCACCCATGTTAGCACCTGCATCTGCACCCACATCTGTATCCTGCACCACATTTGCCCTAGAATCCACACTTGCATCTTGCACCCACGTTAGCACCTGCACACGTTTGCACCTGCATCTGCACCTGCACGTGCATCTGCAGTAGCATCCTGCATCTGCATTTACATCCTAAATCTGCACCCACATCTGCATCCTGCACCCATATCTGAATCTTGCGCAGGCAATTTCACCTGCATCTGCACCCCACACCTATAGCTGCATCCTGCATATGATTTTGCACCTATATCTGCCCCCACACCTGCATTCTGCATATACATTTCTATCCTGCATCTGCACCTACATCTGCATCCTGCACCTGCCTTTGCACCTGCACCCACATTTGCCTCCTGCATCCATGTCTACACCCACACACAAACCTGCAACCTGCACCTGCATACTGAATCCTTGCCTGCATCTGCACCTGCATCCACACCTGCAGCCTGCATCAGCATCCGCATGCAGGTCTGCATTGATGCCTGCCTCCACACCTCCATCTGACATCCACACCTCTATCTGCATCTGCATCCTGCATTCACCCCAGCACCTGCATCTATGCCTATATACATACCTGCATCCTCCATGCACACCTGCACCCACATCTGTATGCTGCATCCACGTCTGCATCCGTTCTCTGCATCCACACCTACATCCACGTGTGCATCCTGCATCCACCTCTGCACCGTCTGTTCCAGCCACCAACCTCCTGCATCCACATCCACAACCACATCTGCACGAGCACCTGCACGATGCCTCGACACCTGCATCCTGCATTGCCCCTGCACCTGCATTTTGGCCTGCATTTGCACCTGCACCCACATCTGTACCTGCATCCTGCATGCACACCTGCACATGCGTGTGCCCTGCATGTACAACCACACTTGTGCCTGCATGCTGCATCCACCAGTGCATCCTGCACCAGCACCTGCATCTGTGCCTGCATCCACACACACGGCTGCATCCACATCTGCAACGACATCTTCTCCAGCTTCTGCATCAGCCTCTTGTATGCACATCTGCATCATCTGCAATGGCACCTGCATCCACATCTCCATCCTGTGTCTGCATTCACATCTGCATCTGCACCCTGCCCCTTGCAGGCCGTTCTACATCTGTGCGTGTAGCTGTACCCTGCATCTACCTCCTGCATATGCAATTGTGACTGCACACTGCATCCACACCTGCACCCACATCTACATTTACTCCTGCACCTGCAACCTACATCCTCACCTGCATCTTGCATCCCATATCCATGTCCTGAATTCCAGCTTCATCTGCATCAACACCTACACCTGCGTCCTGTGGCCCCCTATGGCCCAAAACTCAAGATTTGGCCCTTTTTTGTGCTTTGGGAAGACATCGTGGGTCCATGCCATGCTGGGGTGCCTCAGCCCGGTGCTGGGGGGATGTGGGACACAGGGGTACCTGCTCAGCTGTCAGCAGCGGCTCCTCGTTGATGCCGGAGTCGTGCTCGCTCCTCTCAGTGAGCTCTTCCTCCTCGTCATCCTCCTCCTCCTCCTCCTCCTTCTTCCCGCAGAGCTGTGAGGACACACAGGATGTTGGGGCATTGGTGGCACGGCCCCGTGGAGCAGCCACAGGGAGAGGTTTGTAGCAGAAAGGGCTGATCGGGACATCGGATGCGGATGTTGGATGGGGGGGTGTTGGACAGGGATGTGGGACAGGGACATGGGATGGGAAGAGGCTGGATGGGGACATGGGATCGGGAGAGGTCAGATGAGGATGTCGGACGGGGATGTTGGATGGGGAGAGGTTGGACAGGAATGTAAGATGGGAGATGCTGGATGGGAACGTTGAACGTGGATTAGTTGGACAGGGATGTGGGTTGGGAACCTTGGATGAGGAGAGGTCAGAGAGGATGTTGGACTGGGAGAGGTTGCATGGGGAAATGTGGAATGGGGAGAAGTTGGATAGGGACATGTTGGATGGGGACATGGGACTGGGATATTGGATGGGGAGAGACTGGACAGGGACATGGGATGGGGAGATGTTAGATGGGCAGAGGTTGGACAGGGACCATGGGATGGGGAGAGGTTGGAGGGGGACATGGGACAGGGATGTTGGACAGGGCTGTTGGATGGGTACCACCCTTTTTTCCCCGCCTGTGACGATTATTTCCCCTTTTCCGCAGAAGTTGCCCCCAGGAACATACCTCTTCCGCCCTGAATCGCGATGGACTCATGAACATCCCAACAGGCTCAAGTCGGCACCTTTTGGGGTGGTTTCGCTGCCCTCCCGCAACCCCGACTGCAGCTCATGGCATGTGCTCACTATAGCAGGGAAAACACCTTTTTCTCCGCCCAAACGCACCACCTCAGCCCAGTGGAGCCCCAATCTTTCCCTTTTTGGTGTGGTTTCCCCCCAAAAGGGGGATGCCACTGTCCAAAAATGATGAGAAATTACACGTTTTGGTAGTCCGAAGAGCCCCCTCCCCAACGGTTGCTGGGCTTGGGGATGGATTGACAGCTGTCAATCATCATGGTGCAGGATGCCGGGGGGGGCAATGGCTTCTGGGGGGGGGGTCCTGGGCATACCTGCAGGTCGGCACCATCGGGGGCCTCGGCGTCGGGGAGCAGCCAGTGCCGGGGGGAGCCATGGGGGGCGAAACCATCAGTGAGGGCATCCCAGACCCTGTGGGGAGGCAGGCGGTGAGCAGTGTCCCAAAACGCCCCTGAAACGCCACCTTGGAACACCCCCAAACTCCCCAAAATGCTGTTTGGAAGCATCGCACTGAAATACTCCAAAACACTCCCCAAATGCCACTCTGGAACACCCCCAAATGCCCCAAAGTGCCATCCCAAAATACTGTGCTGAAATACCCCAAAATGCCCCCAAAATGCCGCCCCGCAATACCCCCGAACACCCTGAAACACTGTCCAGAAACACTGCACCAAAATATCCTCACATGCTGCCTTGAAAACCCCTCAAATGCCCCAAAATACAATCCTGAAACATCACCCCAAAACACCCTGAAATGCGCCAAAACACTGCCCTGGAGCACCCTGAAATGCCCCCAAACACCATCCTGAAACATCATGTCAGAACGCCCCCAAACTCCCCAAAACGCTGCCCCAGAATACCCTGAAATGCCCCAAAATGCCACTCTGAAATGTCATGCTGAAACACCCCCAAATGCCCCAAATGTCCCCTAAAACACTGTCTCAGTGCTCTAAAACACCCCAAAACACTGTCCTGGAACACCCCAAGGTGTTCTAAAATGCTATCTGGAAACGCCAGCCCAAAATACCCCACAATGCCCCAAAACGTCACCCTGAAACACACCAAAATACCTGAAACGACCTGAAACATCCTGAAATGCCCCCAAGTGCCATCCTTCCCAAAACACTGTCCTGCAACACTGCCAGAACTCCCTGAAATGCCCCAAAACCCCTGGAAATGACCCTAAATGTGATCCTGAAACAGCACTGCAACCACCTGATATGACCCCAAATGCCACCCTGGAACAGCCTGGAATGCTCCAAAATGCCATCCTGAAGCACCCTGAAATGGCCAGAAACACCCCAAAATGCCATCCTGAAATACCCCAAAATGCTGCTGCAATGCCCCCAAACACCCCTGAATCGGCCCAAAATACCACACTGAAACACCCCAAACGCAGCCCCAAAACACCCCCAAATGGCCCCAAAACCCAGCCCCGGGACACCAAAACCTGCTGCCCTGAAACACTCCCAAACTCCCCCCAAACTGCCCTGACAGACCCCCAAACACCCCAAAAGGGCCCCAAAAAACATTGAAACGTCCCCAGAACACCCTGAAACACCCCAAACACCCTGAAACGCTGCCCTGAACCACAGCCCCAAAACACTCAGAAATCCCCCCACCAAACTGCCCTGAAACACCCAGAAACTGCCTCAAAACACAAGCTGCAGCACTGATGCCCCAAAATGCAAAAAAAAAAAAAAAAAAGAGAGAAAAGGAATAAAAGAAAAGAAAAGAAACACCCCAAACTATGCCCCTCCATGCTATTTTGCCCCTGTGCCTCTGGGGTGGGATTGTTTTTGCCCGGTTTCACCCCCAAAATGGGGAGTGGGGAAGACAAATGAAAGAGAGGAAGGGAAAAAAGAGGAGGAAAAAGGCAAAAAGGGGAAAAGAGACAAAAACAGAGGAAGAAAAAAGGAAAGAGGAAAAGTAGAGAAAGGAAAAAAGGGAAGAAGGGAAAATGGGGAAATAGAAGAAAAGGGAAAAAAAGGGAGGGGGGAAAAG